CAAAGTTCCTTATTTTTCTTATCCAAAAGTTCTTCTGTTTGTTTCACAGTTTGTAATGAGGACTTAGCTAAGGCCTCTTGCAAATCTTTAAGTGTAATGGAGGGAGGTGGTGATGGTGGGGGAGATCTAGGTTTTTGTTGTTGAATTTGCACAACAGGAGAGGAAATAGCTGTTTTAGGCAATGCAGAAACTCCAGTACATTTTGTAGCCATTCTGCCAAATTATTTTTAAAACTCACAAAAGCAAAAATTAGCTTTAAAAAGCTTGACTTAAAAAAAGTTCTTTAAAATCCTTTAAAATGCATCATTCCACCACCGGTAAGAAAGTGAAAGTTTTCCTTTTGTTACAAAGAAACAGCGCTTCCGCGGCCATTTTCTTCTCACTTTCACTTATAACAAATAGCGAAAATCCCAATAAAATCTTTGAGTTAAAGTCACCATTTAACTAAAGCAGAAAAAAAATCCCCTGTCAGGTTCCGTCTGTTCAAAAGTTACTCACAAGCAGAAACAAAGTAGCAGCAATGGCAGCGACGTCTAGCCTCGCTCCGAAGAGCGAAGACACTCCGAGCTGCGGAGAAGAGGTCCAGACTCCGGGGAAGTTCTCACCTTCATCCCCCCAGGATCACTCCTGGGGGGACTAGGGAACTCAACCCCTATCTGAACCAAACTCACTCTCTCCCCTTCGCCCGGGGAGGGAGTTCCAAGCCGCAAAACAGCTGATCCGCGCTGTTTTGACAGCTCTGACGCAGTCCCGGGCAGGAGGCTGAAAAGAAAGCCTCCATCGGCGAGGCCTCGCCACCGGAAGCTCTCTTTTTTGAGAATTAATTTGATCTATGAGAGAAGTATGATCTAAGTATGAGAGAATTGTAACAGTTAAAAGTATTAATAATGATTTTATTTTAAAGAAGCCAGTATATATAATGTATGTTTTAGAAAGTATGTTTTTTTATCAAATGGCCCATTTGTGGAGATAAGAAAAAACTGATCAAGAATAAGCTGGGTCTTTATTTAATTTATTAAAATATAAATAATTAAATAAAAAATATAAAAATTGTTATATTTGTTCACCTATAAGGAAGTACAAATACCACCATACCTGTAGATTTGAATATCTCAAAGATCCTAATAAATATTGTCTAATTAACTAGTAGGATTCCTTCTACTATATGAGGAAAAGAAGTGGGGGGAAAGGGAATATAATATATTTACATGATGGGAATGCAGGGGGCTCTGCCTTATGTGTCTTGAAAAACCAGTTTTAACAAAGAACCAAGACATTTCTGATTTATCTTATATTATTTGTTGCATTTGGATGATGCAATTGCTACATATTGGGGTTTTGGGGTTTCCGTATTTATTCATGTACTATTATGATGTTGCATTTGTAATCTGCAATATAAATACACAGTTTCAACTCTTCCATAATATTGGTGTTTGATTTTACTTGGTGGAATAAATGCTATATATCAGTGATGGCAAACCTTTTAGAGACTGAGTGCCCAAAACCCGCCCCCCCACCCCTGTCCCTGCTCCGCCGTGCCCACTGGGCCACTCACCACCTTCACGGCCCACCACAGATCACCCAGGTAGCCCAGCAGCGTCATGGTGGCCACGCCCTTCACCTGTGCCCCGCAGCATCATCTGCGCGCAATAGGGCGCAAGGGCGGAGTCTTGTCCCTGCTGCCCAGCTACCATGTCCTTGGCTGCGCTGCTTCATGTGGGCCATGCCTGGGGGCGACTCCGGGGGGGCTGCTGGTGAGGAGGGGGCCGTGGGAGGAGGCGGGGCTGGGGCGACGGTGTGTGTGCCCACAGAGAGGGCTCCGAGTGCCGCCTCTGGCACCCGTGCCATAGGTTCGCCACCACTGCTATATATTGTATTATATATTTTTGAATTTGTTATATTCATGCTTTAATAATGCAAATCACAATTAGCTTGGGCAAGAGTTTACCATGAAATTGAACATATAATTTGTACCTGAATGTAAGGGGTATTTGAGAAAGAATATAGGATATATAATTAGTTGCTGCACCTTCTAACTTACTTCTTGGTTGGCCTTTTCACTCACCAGATTCCCAGGTTAATATGGAAATCATTAATAGAGAATAGAGACAAGAAGTAGCAGTGAATATATTCGTACAGTTACAGACCATCCTAAAAAAAGAAAAATCCATAGTATTAAACCTTGACAGTCATAATCTATCATCTGTAAAGTCACAAAAATGAAATCTTTTTTTGTTATTCATTGTCTTTTATTGTTTGTTGCAGCAACATTGACAAGTTATTCTGAAAATGTGGATCGTGCTAAGTATGGAGGGGAAAGCAGTAAGGAATTAGGATCCGGAGGAAACCTGAAGCCTTGGCAATCTCAAAAATCCAATATAGATTCCTGTTTATATAGAGTGGATGAAAACATGACAGCTTCTACGTACAGTTTGAATAAGATCCCTGACCGGAATCTAGAGACTGTTTTATCCCAGTCAGTACAATCCATTCCACTTTATCTCATGCCACGGCCCAATTCTGTAGCAGGTAAGAATCTCATCCAGCAGGTTACAATTAATTTTCTTTGTAAAATTGTTGGACAAATTATTCAAGTGTAATTATATTTTATATTTACATTTTATAAGTTATTCTAACTTACAGAATAACAAAGCATTTTTATTGCTTGTTTCGGAAGTTTTGTTTATCCCTCTTTGAGGGAGATGGGCATTTTAGAAATATGATTGATTAATTAATTAATAAAAGCAAAACAAAAGCTCCATTGCTGGTAATATCAGAACTATTTGGATAACACAATGCTTGGCAACGCTTGATATTACAATCCATAAAAGCTTCAGGTGGCAGCCATATAAGCCTGTAAAGTTTATGTTAGTGATAAGAAAGACACTTGTAATTATCTGTTTTAGAATTTAAACTTGGTGATCTTGTGAAAAAATTGAAACCAATTATTATTTCTCTGATAGTTATGCTACTGTCTGGAATTACCTTCATTTTTTAAAATAATTTTATTAATGTTTACAAAGTTAAAAAATTAATACAAGCTAAGAAAAATTGTAAAAGGAAAGTAAAGTAAAGAGTAAAGAGAAAAAAATAGTTTTTAAAAGATACTGTATATAAAGAAATATCCCATCTCCTCCCAGTCAAGTATAAAGAATTTCAGTAATTTAATGCCTTTTTTGGTATTTCAAGAAAAAAGAAAGAAAAAAATAACTTCTTCTTATATCTCATCTCTGATCAATAAGCAAATTATAAACACACATCATTCAATCTTAATCAGCAAAAGTCCATTAACAGTTACCTGAATTAGTATTCTGTACACACACACACACACACACACACACACACACACACACACACACAAAACACACACACACAGAGAAAGAGATAGAGAGAGGGAGGAAGGGAGGGAGGGAGGGAACAAGCAATAATTGGAAGAGGGAGCTCCAATCTTGAAATAAGGAACAATTTCCTGACAGTGAGAATTATTAATCAATTGAACAGCTTGCCAACTAGAACCAGAGTGCTCCATCCCAGGAAGTTTTCAAGAAAAATTGGACAACCATTTGTCTGGGATAGAGTCACCTCTGGCAAGATGGACAACATTCAAATCTGATAAATAAATAAAAATAAAAAAGCACTTCTGATTTATGCGGGGGCTTGAACTAAAAGACCTCAAAGGTTTCCTTCAGCCTTATGAGTCTATTATAATTTAGTAAAATAAATCCATTTTATATTCCAACATCACTTTCTCTTGAAAAATAAAGCAAATAGAAGCAAAAGAAATCTTTCCCTGTTTATAAACAAATCTTTAAAGCCTTGTCATTCAGTCCTGGTTAAACAAAAAAAGTTCCATTAGTAGCTACTAGAAACCACAACATACATATTTTAAACCTGGTCAAATAGTTTTACTATATTTGTTCGGTTTATTTTTAAAAAGCTTAATCTCTTCAAGTAATGTTTTACAAGTTGATTTGTCATTTTCTCTTTGTTTCCTCTCAGAAACAATTTCAGTTGTTTCATGTCCCTTTTGTAAATACAATTTATTATTTGTATGTCTCTTTTAGTTATCAAGGCATCAGCCGGCTTCATTTGTAAATACATTATGACATTTTTTACATATCTCTCTTGTAATCTAATGTTTTCAAATCCATTTTCAGATCCACAACAACTTTTTTCCATATCATATTTGTAGTCTGACTTTTTTTTTTTTTTAAAAAAATCCATTTTCAAATCCATATTCAAGTCAGCCTCAGTCTCTATTTTGTCCAATAAAATCTGTTCCTTTTCTATAGCCTCTGTTAACTCTATTATTGTGACAGACAAGCTTGAAATTATGTTCTGAGTACATTGTTCTCAAACAGTCAAATTATATTGTTCCACTGTATTAATGGATCTCTTCTTTAATTGTAATTCCTAGTTATCTTTAGTTATCTCTAGTCAACTTTCAAAGTTTCCTCTTATTGTATGTTTATTTTCCAATCTGCAAAACTTTCAGAGGATTTCTTACAGTTAATTTCAAAATCTTCATATATGCTTTTATAAAAATTTAAACAACCTGCGGGAAATATTCTAGTCTCCTTTTGCTGTTTTCCAAACATTAAAAATGATTATTTTTTCTCTAATTCTTAAACTTACATGAAACTTCTTTCATCCAGAGTAAATTAAATTTGCCCTTCAGAAGGTTTTTAACAACCAAAAAATCAAAAACAAGCAAATTTCACTGGGATATCGCATGAACCCAATGTCCCAATAAACACCCCAAAGCATGCCTTAATTGGGATGATTTTCCCCTGCCTCTCACAAGTCTCACACCTATTGGAGATTACTATTTTACAATCTCATCATGAGGAGCCTCTATATGGAACAAAGGTGTGGATGATCCTATTGCTTTCCTTGATTTGGAGATGAGTTCCAAGGAGCCAATTTGTTTGCGGGTTCCTCTTTCTGCTTTGGCCATCAGCTCCACTCTTAACAGAGCCATCTTCAGTCTTCCATTGCTTCCCCAGAAATCAGCCTATAGTTCAGTTTACAACAAAAACATCATGAACTAAAGGCCACCCTCCTTTCATTCTGTACGTTTTGTAACATAGACAAAGCTGCAAGACAGTGACTGGCCTAAACATTTCCTCAATGCCATTAACATTAAATAATTCCAAAACAACATTAAAAAGTTACTGTCGAGCAGTGCTTTTCAAAGTTTTTCCCTCATTACCAAAGTTGCTTATCAGAAAAGTATTTTTATTGCTTATCAGAAAGTCCTCATTTAAATGACCCTGTTATGATTGGATGATGGTTTTGTGTGTCATTTCCCAAAGAAAAATCACAATATTAATTTTGAGACTTTGCTTATTGGAAGTACCCTGGAAAAGTCAGAAATAGCAATCATGTAACCTGGGATATTGCAACCATTGTAAATACATGCTGGTTACCAAGCGCCCAAATTTTAATCATGTGAGGGGGCTGCAATGGTTGTAAATGCAAGGACTGGTTGTAAGTCACTTTTTCAGGGCTCTTGTAACTTCAAACAATTCTTGAATTGAATTGAAATGAATTGAAATGAATACTTTACTTGGCCTAGTGTGATTAGACACACAAGGAATTTGTTGTCCAGTTCAAAAGTACTCATGTACATGCAAAGCAAAATAACAACAAACTAGAAGTAGAAAATACAAAGATCTACAAACAGAAATAGAATGACTGTGGCAAAAGCAAGCAAAGGTAATATCAATAGTAATAGGCGCCTTAAGTTCAATCCCAGAGCAACTGGAGCACCACTTAAACACCATTCACCATCAGTCAATTACAAAAGGCAGCTTTACTCAGAACAGCTTACATTCTGCGGCAAAATCTGTAACACCATAAAACATCCGTATCTGCCTATCCCAGGTCCTTGGAAAGGACTCGATATGTAGAAAAAAAATGCCAAATTCAGTCTGAACATCTGGCAGACTGTGTTATGAATTATAACAACAGGAATAACAACAACAATAATACCAGAAAAGGGGGGAGCAAAGAAGATAATAAGGAGAAATAATAATACTACAGCCATACTACATGGGTTAATAGATGTCAGACTGAGAGAATTAAATGTTCAGCAGAGTGATGGCATGAAAGAAGAACCTGTCTCTGTCTCTAGTTGTTTGGCATACAATACCTTATAGCACTGTCCCAAGGGAAAAACTTGAAACAGTTTATGTCCAGGATGTGAGGGGTTTTCAGATATCCTCTCAGCCCTCCTTCTGAAGCACGGAATAACAGGCCTTGTATGGAAGGCAGACTAGTTGCAGTTGTTCTTTCTGCAGTCTTAACTGTGTGTTGGAGTCTGTCCCTATCCTATCTGGTTGCTGTACCAAAACAGACATATGTATAGTTGCTATACAAACCATTTATATAAGTACAAATAACAAACTCAATAATTCCTCTGTAAATTCCTCTGTATCAACAGGTCCTGAGGCAGTCTGAACTTCCCCAGTTAAGGCAGGAAGAACGTTCTTTGTTGTTCCT